GAAGAGGACGGGGTCCTCTCCGCGAACGGGGGGGTGCTGTGTGCGGGGTGCGGAGAGGAGGCGCCCGGGCCCGGGGCGCGGGACGGGGAGGGGGGAGGCGGCGGGGGGGGCGGCGGGTGGGGGGAAGGGGGGGGCGTCGCGGGGGAGCGGGGGAGGAAGAGGGGGAGGGACCCGAAGACCATGCGGCTCGTCTCGTCGAAGCGCGAGCCGATGCGCGACGGGGGCGACGGCATCACCCTCGCCGACGGCCAGGAGTGGCACCTCTTCCTCAGCCACGTCTGGAGCACGGGGCAGGTTTACCGCCCCCCTCCTAAATTCTTAGCTCCCCGGCCCTGGGCTTGGAGATGTGAGCCCCCGCGGCCGCGCGCTCCACACATCAGACGCCGAGGTGGACGCGAGGCTCAAGGAGAGGCTCGCCGGAGAGACGACCTTCCTCGACGGCGTCTCGTACCCCGGCCTCTTCTCGGCCACCAAGACGCACCGCGCGACACTTTAACTTTTCAGTCGACAGGTATACTTGCCAACTTTGGGTGTCAAGATCCCGTCGGCGGCGCGCACACGCACTCGCCCTCCGCCCCCCTCAGCGTCTCGCAGCCGGGCGCCGGCGCGCCACCGCCGGCCGGCGCGCGGTTGAACTCGGTCGTCGCTCCTCGCCACAGCGCACAGCCCCTCGGCTCGGAAGGCTCGCTGCTCGAGCCGAGGTGCGTCAGCCCGCCCGCCCGCGCATAGGCGACGCACTCTGCCTCGGTGAGCGGGCGGAGCCCCGCGCCGGCGCACGAGCCCGCCGCCACCCGCCGCGACGCGCGCGCCGTCCGCCGCGCGCGCCTCCCGACCCACGCGTCGCAGGCGGCGCACTGCCCTCGCCGGAGAAGCGGCTGTCCGCGGGCCGACCGTGCCGCCGCGTCGACCTCGCAGCCGCGCGCGAGCGCGTCGCAGAAGGGCGCGGCGTCGTCGGCGCCTGGGTGTGGGTGTGGGCGGGTGCGGGTGGGTGGGTGTGGGTGTGGGCGGGTGCGGGTGGTTGGGTGTGGGTGTGGGCGGGTGCGGGTGGTTCGGTGTGGGGGTGGGCGGGTGCGGGTGGGGTGTGGGTGTGGGTGTGGGTGGGTGGGTGTGGGCTGCGTTGCATGTGGACGGGCGCAAATTGGCGCGCGTACCGACGGCGGCTGCCCACGGCGGCAGCCTCTGCGAGCGGAGCCGGTCGGTGTACTGCAGGTTGAGGGAGGCATCGTGGAGTCGGGGCGCGAACCAGATGGCGGCCTCGGAGAGGGCGGAGGCCGCGTGCAGCAGGTAGTCGCAGTGCGAGAGGAGCAGGGAGTCGAGGAGCGCCTACGCAGTCCCCAATGCGAGGTGAGCGGATCGGCTGCTAGTTGCAAGTTCGAGGAACACACTATCAAACTAATAACGCGTTATTAGTGATTAATCTCCTAATAACAAGCTAAATATTAGGTATGTGTTGATAATTAGGTACGTTATTAGGCTAATAGTTTGATAGTGCAGTCGATCCTCACCTCGCCTCTCCCCACCCCACCTCTCCTCGCCTCTCCCCACCCGACCCCGCCTCGCCCCGACTCTCCTCGCCCCTCCTCACCCCCCGGCCCCGCCTCTCCTCCTCTCCGATAGGCCCGAGATGCGAGCGCCGAGAGGCCCTTTGCTTGGCCCGAGAGGGTGCGGTCGTGGATGATGTCGTCGCTCTCGTAGCCGCCCTGCTGAAAGACCACCTGGACAAGCCTCAGACAGGTCACGCACGCGGCCTGGGCATGCCCCATCCCGCCGCCCTGCTGGAAGAGCGCCCGCCCACCGCACACGCCGCCGCCCGCCGCCCGCCCACCCGCGCATGCCGGCCGCGAGGGGAGCTCGCCGCCGCCGCCCTCCCACTCTCCGTACCTCGCGACGACACGGCGCAAGTAGGCGCCTAAAGGGGAGG